CGATAGTTCTATCTATGCAAGATCCAATGATTTCTGTTAACTTACGGCTTTAGATGCATACTAAATACACGCAAGGGAAATGGTAAAACATGTTTATTTATCACACATTTGTCATAACATACTTCCATATCACGTTCAGAGGTCAAATTACTTGACCCTCCTCAACTTCAAGTGTTTCTGGCGCTCCCTTTGGATACTCCTGTCTTTGTTCAAAGATTTTGTCCAGAAGTGCATACGCGTGAGCAGAAAAAGCTGGACTACTTTTGCGGTCAGTTCTTTGCTGTGAATTTCGCAGCCAACTCTATCCAGTTTGATACCTGCCAAGAACTGCATGAAATCGTGTATGCTGAAGGAGTGCAACTTTTCAGCAGAAAAGTAGAACGTAAATGTATCCTCCAAGGTTTTCACAAGTTTGGCCAGATTGTCACAAGGATACAGCAATCCTCCTTTGTCGAATTCACAGACTAATTCACTGTTCGGTTTGACAATGGCTCCTGATTTCTTGGTGGCAAGAGTGGAAATGCACTCGTTGCAAGAGCTTTTTTTGTTGAATTTTTTCGCAACATAGCCAGCAACGTAATAAATGAGACGGCTGTCACTTTTCCGAACAGCGTAGCTGCTGTGGTCACCACTTAGAGACTGCAGTGTAGACCTAGCCCCATCAACATCTCCAACTTCAAGCATATCTTCGATCATGTCTCGTATGCCGAAAATGGCATCACCTGTGGCTGGTGATGAAGTGTCAATGAGAGCTGTTACTAGCTCTGCTGGGGAGTTCCCACTCTTTGGTGGTCTAGCAAGATTGTAAAAAGACAAGCAATTTACAGTCACTAGGAACTGCCCGGGATTTGGATGGTCATTAGTACCAGAATATTGCCTAATTATTCCGAAAACATTCTCTAGTTTGTCCTGGCTGAGTCGGGCTGTTAGCATGTACCTAAAGCCGAGAGACTTTGTCAAGTAGGTAAGAAGTGAAAGCGTGCTACATAAAGTAACACGCAAACCTTCTGCAGTGCTCTTACTCACGAATCCCCCACCGGCTGTCTTTGCTGCTGCTTCCCAGTGATCCATAAATAAAAGGAACGCCTCGAGCTCAGCAACTTTCTCTGATGATGGTCTGAGCCCCTCTCGCGGGCACCTGGACGTCATCACAGCTATTAGTCGACTCATTCGCTTTACAAGCTCCCCTGTGGGCATTAGTTTTGAAGGAGAAATCTCGTCAATGTCTGATGCGAACAAAAACATGCCTTTCAAAACTTCATCACTGAACAGTGTGAACGCCAAGTTAACTTTCATTTTCTCAAAAGAATTGGGCCGAATGTGCACTCTCGTTTATATGTGGCATGGCCTTCAGAGTTAAAGAACTTTTGTCTTTCTCCCATGCTGCCTCAATGTCCTCAACACACGCACGACCATCTTGAGTGGTGAACCCGGTGCTTACAAATGAGTTGCGAACACATTTCACTAAATGTGGGAAGTCGGAGCAGAAGTGAAGCTTTCTGGAGGGGTCCACAGGGTGGGTAACATTGCAGGTGGTCTTGACTGAGGATGCTGGAATAAAGAAAAAAGAAGCAGTCAGCATCTCTGCTTTTCAAACCTCACTGTTCTGGGAATATATCGCTGATATTGAGATGCATATATATTGTTTCACGTGCCCCATGCACATAGCAGGCATGTTGAAATTGGCCACAATAGAACAAATAGTTCTGTTTCATACCGCCAATTCCAAATGACCTCCACATGCTCCGATTCCAGGTCGCTCCATCACAGAATACAAAGTCGACGAAAAGTCCGGCTTGTTCTGACAGTAGAATGGCCTCTAGAAGAAGCTCCGCCAGCATTTCTGCTTTGATGTTCCCTTTGGATGAAAACACTCCCAATATCTGTGTCCAGTCACCTGCACAAAATCAGTCATATAGTTAGACTCATGTTTATAGCAAGACAGCTGCCTGACCTGCTAAGTTGTTTCGCACAAAATTGACAGGCTTTCTTGCACCTTACACAAGTGCAATTCGCTATGCTGACTAGGCACTCTCAATAAACGTGACATCTAATAAGGAGCCGACTTGAAGTTCTTCATTAATTTGGCAAAGTGAAAGTGCTTTTATCAGTAAACATGTGTTGGCACACAAAATTGATAATAACGCTTCCTCACCTTGAAAAGGTTGAAACATCATCAACATCCCATGGTCGGCTGGAGTCGTCCGATCTTCCTCCTGGGTGAACTTTCCGAGGTCAACGAAGCCTTCCACTGTCCCTGGAAATAAGTTAAAAACGAAAAACTGATTGCCTCCGCAGTATAAAAACAGGCCCTATACTGGGCAAACGTGATGCATCTTCAGTGATCTGATGCTCGATTGAAGAAATGGTAGCGCTTACCTGCTGCACTGACGTTGAAACGCTCAGCCAACTTCATCTCATCGAAGATGATGCCTCCATGTCTACTGGAGATGTGATAGCAAGGGCGTTGAAAACTGCTTTGTTAAATCCAAAGCCACTTTTGAAGCTGCGAGTATAGCGCTGGAGACACGTCCTGCTTGGTAATATAAGAACTTTTTGCTTACGAAGCTGCTCGTATAGTTTAGGACTACGCATCCGCAGAAGTACACACTCCAAAATCCATTCCTTCTCATACAACATCCCAGATGTTGATTTTCTTGTAGCAGCCTAGAAGCAGGCCCTGACAGCCATTTGTTGCTTTTCAGGCAAACTTTTAATGCGAGCGCCCAGCACCTCGTCGGCAATTTGTTGATTTGCCTGCCGCATTGCTGCTAATTCGCGTTCTGCATTCAGCAGCTTCTTCTGAGCAGTACGCAAGCTGCGGCGTGTGTTAGCGAGCTTCTTCTGACGTTTGTACATGCCCCCGCTACGCCGCTTTCGCGACATTTGGTTTTGCACCAGTTTTCTGAGGTATTTGCAGTGTATGCAGGAGCCACTCTCACACACATAAGTACACTTGGCAGAAAAGTAATTCCCAGCAAACAATACATACTGTCCTTGCTTTTCCGGTCTCATGCCGCAGCCTTGACACAATGCAAGTGCATGTGTGCTGTCGAGCACCGACTGCGCTTCTTCCGGCGAGGAGACGGTACACTGTAAATGCAGTTTGCCCCTCAAGTATACAAAGCAACACAATGAGTTCTGTTGGCTGCTATTAGCTTTGAATTTCACAAACTTGGGCAGCAAGATGTGGTCCACCTGCTCGGCCTCGAGCTCACAAACGCCGTATAACGCAGAATCACGTTCACTGCAAAACGTTAACTTGTTCCATGTTTCGTCGGGTAGACGGAGGTTGCCGCACACCCTTTGAACTTCGGCGTCGGCGTGAACTGCATCAGATGTCTCCACCTCGGGAAGAACATTGGGATCCTCGTGCTCCTGCTGCTGCACGTGTGCTTCGGGCTCTTGCCTGCTGACAGAGTTCGGCTTTTGCCGTTTTTTAGCAGGTCCGCGCTGTTCACATATATTTCTGTCCTTTCTTTTCACGGGCGCTTTTTTGGTAAAGTACTTCGGTGCGTCTGGGAACAGCGTAGGCACCGCATCTTCTGATAAACGCGGACAATCGTGGGGTATCTCGACAACCTCACCGTTTATAATGTGGCGGTATGTCCTTTCGATGAAACTGGCGTCGAAATGCCGCTCGCAAACGACACTGTCTCTCGTCAGCTCTTTGTCAGCCCGCTTAATATTTCGAGCCCATTGCTCTCGCCTCGAGAGATCCTTCGGGGCTTTAAAGACGGAAAGCTTCTCCGAGCACGATCTATACCCGCCTTTACAGCCAGGGACGAAGCATGTACTTGCACGACTTGACGGCATGGTTCGCAGAACACATGGGTAAACAAACGACAGCGAGCGCGTAGCATCCGAACAAGGTGACGGCACAGCACAGAGAGAACGAGCGTGCCAAAGCAAGCGTGGCGAGCACCTACTACTACACCAGCGCCCCTTGCGGCGGCCAGAACTTTCATTGCGTTCCGCGCATCCCTCTCCCATGGCGGGGATACAGCGCCCGTCACACTTCCCCCCTCTAGCCACCATAGTAAGACTTCGGCATGGTAAGCATAAAAAACCGTTCCTCATTTAATTTCAGACATTCAGAAGCATGCAAAGTGCGAATGCGTAGAAAATTGGAAAGTGCGTCACCTTAGTTGGTAGTGCGGAAAAGGAAACAGTCAGTCTCACCGCACTGCTCGTGAAAGGCACGCAACTATGTTGATACCAATTACAGGAAGTTTACCGAATATTGTCAAAGAGTTGTTGCGAAATCTTGAGCTACACAAGTGCAGGGACATAAGCGGTATGCGATTACTTACTGCACCAAAGTTTTCGTGCATAGTGATGGATATAACAGCCAGCGCTGGACAGCTTCTGTGCTCCGGGCATCTGCGTTGGGGCTATGTGTAGTACGTATATCTTCTTTGCACATGAACGCTGAAGCATGCATATTGTTCACTGCTGTACCTGCTACAATTTTACTTATGTGGCCTTTTTTTTGTGTAAACATCGATCGATTGATTTACAAAAAAAAAAAACGATTTATTGTTGCAAGCTTGTGCGACCAGCGTTGTCATTTCGCTCGGTCTGTATGCGGCATCACAACTTACTAAAGTAAGCATGCGAGATACTTATGAGCTTATATTGCGAAGTTTACTGCAATGCACTATGTGGAAACGATAGAAATTGAGAAAGGGGGCTACTACAATGAGCGGGGGTCAGCCATGACGCAGAAGCAGATGACGACGATGTCGTCTGCTATGCAAAAGGCCACCCGCCATATGAAAACACTCTGGTGCTTTTGAAACCTATTTCATTTTATACGCAATTTTAAATTATACTAACAATATTCTTACTTAAATTTGATTCGAAAATACATTTATGTGCAGAAGGTAACAAAACGTTTTTCACCTATTAGTGAAATAGTCATTTTGCAATCTTTTTACGATTTCCTACAAAACCCAGACAGCGCTACCGTAGCTTCCGAATTGCTGTCCCCAAGCTTATTCTGAAGTTCGGTCAAACTGGTAGGTGTTCTTTGGTGTTCTGTGGTCTGGTCCGCCGAATATGCACGGCAATCTCTATTTTTCACAGAGAGCGCGTAAAAAATAGAGGTGCCAGAGAGTACCTTTGGTGCCGTACCTTCTCTTCGCGGACTTAGCTACAGCACCGATTTTCGTAGGAAGAGGCTGAGCGACAGCGGTTTTGCCGGAGGCCGACGAAGTGGATGCTTAACCATCGAGGGAGATCTTGGTGAGTTCGCGGTACGTCGGGTGCTTCCATGCAAAGCGACGAAATTCATGTCACCACTGAACAAATGCTTAAAACAAAATTCCATGTCTGCTGGGTACTGTGACATCCTCGGTGCTATCAGCGCGAGTACAGTACTGGCGGTGCACCTGCGTAGAGACTGTGAAGTAATTTAGCGCACATTGTTTCGAGATGGGACAAGACGAAGGAGACGTACACTGGCGCCAGCTGCGCTAAATCTGCGCTAAGCCACTTCACATATGTCGTACCAACAAGGCCACCAGTCTGCCCTTGCAGATTTTGATGTGAGTGCATGTCAGTAGTTTTAAGGATTCGCATAGGTGCGTGCTCAATGGTGGGGAGGGGGACATGGCTGTGGCCGCTTCCCTAGTCACCTAAGACGGGGGAGGGGGGTGTAGATACTGCCACACACATTGAATAATAGGGGAAGGGGGTTAAAGTGAGTCTCATACATTGACCTAATTAGGAGGGAGACACTGCGGCGTACATCCTTCTCCCCTCCTGAAGGGGAAACATGCACACGCCTATGATGATTGGAATGCCGAGTCCTCAGATTGTCACCACCAGAAAAGCAGTCGATGAGGGTGGTGATGTGGGCTAGTTGGTGTGGTAGCATGATTGTATATGGCTGCACAGACAAAGGGCACGGAAAAGAAAAGGCACATTCAAGACAACACAGCGCTAACTTTCAACAGCAGTTTATTACTCGCAAATCCCACTAGTATATCTACTCCACAACGTCGTACGTCACATGGGCATAGCTCTCACAACCATAAATTGTAACCTATGCGCAGGCATCAACATAAGACAACACTGTATTACCTGCATCGTGCATTTTTTGAAAATTTCTTTTTCGTTCCTAGTGCATAGCCACAAAACCTTTACCGCAAATACATTCAGTCGAGTTCCTTATTTGTTAATATCACTGATGGATTGCTCACACAAGCGTCGCCAAGCGCTGAAATTCTGCCTGCCTCCATTATCAACCGCGTCATCTCGCACCTACTTCTACTCATGATAACCGTTTCCTTAAGTTTAGGTGTGCGCTTACATCTATGGCAATGAAGGAAGAGAAGCCATCAGGAACAATACTACTTACCTTGTTATTGTGCTCATGCAAGCATCCATTATGCATCTACCGATCTGTCTGATATAGCACTTTCCACTATTAAGGGGAATCAGGTAGGCAACAAGCGTGATGCATTCAACAAATTGGTTTCTGTGATTCTTTTGACATATCTTCACTTTCATCTTGTCTGGTCTTGTGCTTCTGTATAGGCTCACCAATTTATTGGGTGCTGAAAAAACTACGTTTTTCCTCAGCACCCAAGACGGATAGGGTGAGCTCAAGAAGGAAAAACTTAGCTGTCATCTTATACATACATAAGTTGTCTCACTGGATAAAGATCATGGAAAAATGTGGCACAAACATAGTTTTGATTGTAATGTCTCATCTATAGTTTTGAGCTCCTGTTCATGCTGGATACGGTGTTTTAATCACATTTTAAACAATGCAACATTTTAGCACTGAAGTTTTTAATTCATCCAATGTCTAGTAGCTATCCAAAACACCACTCATGTTTTTTTTTCTTTGGGTTGCTGTGCTTTCAGCTTTGATGTAATGTTTAATATACATCACTGTGGGGTAAGTATGGTCGCTTCATCCGCATTGCATGCTTAGTAAAAACCACTGATTTTTTTTTTGTTTACCACAAAGAAAAAATTTCAATAAAAAGTGATGCGTGACCCTAGACATCTGTTAAAAAACTAAATTTTGATGCTTCAAAAGCTGCTCCAAAACTCCCTTGTTACAGCTTCAAAGTTACTCCCAAACCCCATTATTCCTACTCCCAGAACTGCTCCAAAAGACTGGAGACTGCTTCTACCCTTGTCATGATGTCACATAACATATCACTGAATTCCATCACGTGTCGTCAGTTGGTCAAAGGTAGGCCAACCCTGGAGGCGCTATTAAACCACGTGAGGTGTAAAATGCTTCGAATGTTTCCAATCTCAGGGGCTGTACTTAAAACCACATTGGATGCAGCAAGTATTTGGAGGGGAGAGGGGGGAGGGTTAATTTATTTGACAAAAAAAAAGTAAGAAGATGGTTTTCACCTTCGTGGTCTTGGTCAAATGTGTGTGGACTGTATGAGTTTTTTAATAAACAACCAGTTTGCACCATTTAATTTGTTTATCAAACAGCCAGTTTGTGCTGTTTAATCTGCTTAGACTGACGTTGGCAGTTTCCCCAATTCAGGAGTATGCAGGCTGCTGTTTAAGACTGGCTTATTAGTCTTCGTCAGTCCTCCTTGCCGAAAAAAGAATGAGAAGCTTGAGATTGTTTGCTCTAAAGTCTTGCCATGGCAACCTAATTAAGGTGAAATGTTGCTGAAAATTGCTTGCAGTGGCTAATACAGGAATGGCACAAAAGAGATGTCTTTGTGGTCAAGTGGCCAATATGGATGCTGCAAGCCAGATGCCAGGCTGGAAAGTGCGCCGGGAGGTGTCCATACAGTGCAACTTGCTTCCTCCGCCTGCCCCTCCACTGATATGTACGTATCATATAACATATAATGCATACCATATTGCTATGTAATGTGTGTATTGGGCTTGTGCAGTGTGCAAAGAATGATGCAATATATTGCAACACGAGACAAAGTAGCATATTGTGCTAATGATTGCAATGTGTGCAGTTAAAGTGCTTATGTAGGAAGTGTCAGTTCAGAGAGCCATCCTACAGTATGTCTTTGTTAACCTTCACAAACTCCATAGTAATTAAGCCTATGAGAGAGAGGTCGTTGCACAACTTTAACTTTGCAGTCCAAAACAACTATTTTGCCAGTTTCTGGTGCTAGAAAGAAAAACAAAAACTGTGCAAGAAAAGCCCTGGCAATGTATTTGTCCTGTTCCATATCATACCCAACTTCTTATTGATATCAATGATACAAAAGCTATTTGCATCTGTTGGGGGTCTCATTGAAGCTGGTGCTTCATCTACCAGCGCTTCACGCTCCACATCCTTCCTTAGCAACATATCTTGACAAGCTGCCGATTGCTGTGGCAACAATATAGCTTTAACAAAGAAAAGACGTATGTGACACAGCCAGACAAGAAGTGTTTTTTTCTCAATTTTCATGGGTATGCATTCCGATATTTATTTTATTGCTTTGAGGAACAGGCCGCTATTTTTCTTTGCTAATCAACCAGCAGTGATGCCAGGAAACGTCATAGCCTTGCTTTCATGCTTGTTCCCCATGACGACTTGGCCACCTTTCATAAGGGTGCCTTAAAGGGGTCGTGAAAAGGCTGCTCCTAAAACGACTATGCAGAATCACTGGCATCCACACGCACCTACTAGGTGACGTCAGTGTAAGTATAGTAGACCTGCACGGACGCTTCGCCTATATAAGAATGCCACACTTCACGGTACTTGCGAGTGTGCGCGATTGGGACACCCATCGGTATAAGTGTCTTTGCCATTCGCAGTCCCCACTAACTTGAACTTTGCAGCTGACGTCATATTAAGCTGCATTTTTGTGCGCCGCAGACCACTTATGGCAAAGAAGCCGATGAACGTCCCTTGCACGTGCACGTTGATGTCATGGAATTTCACGCTCCTTGATAGGCAAAGCATCTATGCAGATCTACAAGGGCTGATGTGATAGCGTGTGTAGCTGAAAATCGTGCCACACTGTCATTGTGAAATGAGCTTGTCATAACTCCCTTTAAATCTGTTCAAGGCTAGTTTATGAAATGTACTGTGATCTTTTCTCATCTCTAATTCCTTTCCCCTTCCTATGAAAGGGTGCCCTAGGATGTTAAGTTCATGTTGTCTTGTGAATACAGGTCTGAATGATTCACTACATCGTAACTCCCACGGGGGGAGGGGGGGGGGAATATAAGAAGCACGTCCATTTGTCACTGGGAACATTTTATCAGTGAAGAGTCCTCAGATCTTCAGAAGGTTCAAGCTGGAAAGTGTGCTGTGACATTGTGCGAGAAAAATGAAACATTGACTAAATTAAGTTTATTCCTCAGGATGTGGCACATAATATACAGGAAAGATTCGCATGCTTCACGGTGAGAGAAAGCACCAAATTCAACCCCGAACACCTCCAGATAAAGGTTGACGGTTTACAGCCGTGTTTTTGTGTTTTGTTTTTGGGCAGGGAATGGCAATAGACCACCCCAGGTTCAAGCCATTATCTACGGAGTGTTTGGCTACAGTTATATAGGACTATGATCACTTCTAAAATGTGGTGCTCAGATTTACCGGTTTCATTTTATTTCTGCTACAAATACTAGTATTTTATTTATATAACTCATTTCACAGTACATTGTGACAACCAGCCGTCTTTTTAATTGTTTGCTGATGCTCAAATTTACACTGATGCTTGTCTGTGAAATATATTTTATAATAAAGAATATTTACGAGATGCTTCGTTGATGCTTTGAACTCCAATTGGTGTATGGCACATTTTGTATACGTTTCTTAAACACCAATAGCTGCTCCAAGCTAACATTTTTTTCACTCCAAAAACACTTATGGCGGCTCTCAACCACTACTTTTCCTGCTCCATAGTATGTTCCAAAAAGTGAAAAGTCACTTGCGTCACTGTGCTGTTATTCTGTTCCCCGTGTTTCTGCACTGCAAATGCTGTGTCATGAACACGAAATCACACACACACACACACACACACACACAAAAAAATGTTGAGGAGAATAAACAGACAAGGAAGCCATAGGAGGTGTTTTCTAGTAATTATGATGTAAATGTCAAGATAGTGAAGAGGGCAAAAAGATAACTTGCTGCTAGCAGGGACTGACCCTGCTGCCTTTGAATAACGAGCCCGATGCTCTACCAGTCAAGCTTCTGTGGGAATCGTCCCCGGGGACGAGGTGTATACTTATGAACCACAAAGTGGACGGAGGATGATCGTCGCTGTAGCCCGATTGGTGCAGCATTGGACAAGTTACTTAAAGGTCACGAGTTTGGTCCCTGGCAGTGGCAAGTTATTCTTTCATCCATTTTATTTCCTTCAGATTTATATCGTAGTTACTACAAAATAACATCTTCCATACTTCCCTTGGCTTTTTCGTCTCTTAGTTCTCATTAGTATTATGTCTAGCAAAGAAGAACAAGCCTTTAATATTGCCCTTCTTTCCTTTCAAGAAAAATTTGTGTGTGATACTTTGCATTCATAAACCAGAACATTACATATTAGGTATCAGCCTCAGTGGTTTTGAATTAGCTAGTGTATATATTTTCATTAGCATTGTTTATCATGCATAATTGAATAGAACATTGCAAATTATACTTTTGCAGCTTGTGACCCTGGAAGTGCAACGCTATCGAGGGCATCGAATCTGAACGACTCGCATCATTTTCTGTCGAAGGAGGCAGTGGACCAGCATAGTGGAGTGAGTGACACTTTCAAGAAAGTGAGCAGCAGCAGTGGGGCAACTGACAGCGCTGAAGAAGTGAGCAACAATAGTGCATCAACGGACAGAACTGAGATAGTGGGCAGCTATAGAGGAGCAACCGACAGTGTCATGAAAGACAGCAACTCTAGTGGAGCAACGGACAGTGCCGAGAAAGTAAGCTACTATAGTGGGGCAACTAACAGGGTCGAAAAAGTTAGCAACCATAGTGAAGCAACTGACAATGTAGAGAAAGTGAACAGCAATAGTGGAGCAGTAAACAGTGCCAAGAAAGCGAGCAATGTCATTCAGCCTACAGCAAAAGGGAAGTGGCGATTTTGCCAGCTGTGTCCTTTCAAAACGAAACTGGAGTATGCATTCAAGACCCACGTGTTGGCTCACATAGGCAATGAATCCACCGAGTGCCCTATCTGTTTAGCGAAATTCACGAAGACACATGACATCTTTTCCCACATGCAACAAGTGCATTTAGTTGGAGAACTGTACAGGTGTGACCTGTGCCCATGTAAAACACTCTACAAGAACGTCATGGAAAAGCACAAGCGAGTTCATGCAACAAACAAGTTATATACATGTGACGTGTGCCCGTATGTCAGTGTTCATCGTTCTCGGATGAACAAGCACAAGCTCACACACGCGGGTGCGAAGCCATTCATATGTAAAATGTGCCCTTTTGCCTGTGCCACACGGAGAACGCTGAGTAAACACATGCTAAGGATGCACCCTGAATCATAGATTTCTCCAGGCACTTGCGTGTTTTACACTTGAGCTTTAAAGGAATGAGCAGCGTGTGGCTCGATTCTACGAAAAACGGATCCTTTTGTTAGTACTGTGTACTGTACCTAAAATCTGATAAATTTGGAGAGCCTTTCAACAGATTAGTCCCTGAATTCAACTGTCTGGTTTGGACTGGTACACAAGTGATTTCGAAAGCTACCAAGTCAATAGTCTATCAAATCAACAGAAAACCTTGCAACTCCATCGAAACCCCAGTGGCTGTCGAGCAATGGAATCAAGAACTGTGGAAATGTGCTCTCTTGTTCACAGCCTCCTCAATTCAATATTGAAAAACTGATTGAGTGCCGTGAAATTATGTTATGCGAATTTGACACATTCATAGACATTTCGTCATGGTTCGCACCTGACATGGGGAGTCTATAATAAAGTATTTTGGCCACTTAACATTTTTTAAGTTCGCATACTCTTGACAAAGGCTACGAGCCTGTATGGTTGGGATTCTGTGGCAGCCGCATCAATCGATGCAAATGCTGTCGCTGTTTAGCTAATAAGCAAAAGCTACGCATGTATGACAGCCAAAACATATGGCTGCTCTACTATTAGTAAATCTGAAGAAGCACATCGCACAGGCACTTAGCGATACCCGTTTGTAGAGTTCCCTTTGCCCCGTCTGCCAATGTGCGAGGCAAGTATGTTTGATGCCAATGTTTGAGGCAAGTATGTACAGTTTTCCCAGCAAGGGTAGAATCTTGTTAAAGAGAGTCACAAGCTTTGTGTGTATTGTGTACTACTTTTCGCTGCACTTCATGGAATGCCTACTCGTTACGATAGTTGAGATACACGTCGGCTGTAACGAGTTGCATTTGGTTGTTTCCTTCTGCAGATGTAGCGATGCAGTGCCAGCAAGCACAAAGATAGAGGCATTCGATGACGTAAAGACACCCTCTCTTGCACGCCACCGAAGTGCGCCACCGCGTGTTTTATTGCGATAACACTTATATGGACTCTCTTGGCTGGATTTCACCGCCAGCGGGGGTGTCGACGTCTGTGTCGATGTCATTCACCATATATGTATACACATTTATGTATATGAAAATGCAACAAAGAAAAAAATACCAGAAAAAGACTCCGGCGTGCGAAATTGAACGTGTGACTTCCGCGCCGTGAACTGAGCCACCCAGAGGTACCTCCTTCAACATTCAAACGGCAAGCTATTTACATCTATCATTTACCGCTGTTGGTGAGCATCTCGGGGGGGGGGGGGGACTTTCCGTTTTTCAGCATTATCAGCAGGATAGCGCAGTGAGCGTGCGGCCGCTATCATCTCTCACACGTACTTTGGCCCGCGTAAAGAATAAGAGGGTGTCTTACAGTGGGGAGAATTGTACATCTTGGTTAGCCTTTGAGTTTCGTCAGAACGATTCTGCTGTAGTCACTGGGCGCACAAAGGTCACTGTAATCGCACAGTCGCCGTTTGGGAAAAGGGCACGCTTTTCAGACACAGCGAAGTAACAACTGAGACGCTTATTTGTGTTAATTTGTACCTGTGAGTACGTTTTGTGCGTCCTTTGTGTGTAAGAAACGTGGGGCACATTTCGATCTGCTTGCCATTCTGCGCGTGACCTTCCAATTTGTTGCTATCGCGTTCATTGCTTCGTCTTTGCGGCAAAGCTGTGACTTTTTTCAAATGGTTCCAGCAACTTTGAGGGTTTCATTGTGATTACTTTTTGGTTATCTCTATGAATTATATTATTTCAGACCTCGTTCATTCATTGTAACCATGTTTTGAGCATCAGTAGCCTTGTTGTCTGTAGTAAGCACTTTTCTGTGAGCGGGATTACGGCATATGAGATGCATATATTGTTGACACGGCGAGCTTACGAAGTGCTCAGCATTCAAAATAATTTTTGAGCAGATTTTCAACTTTTGGTAACATGAACTCAAGGTAGCCCAATGTTGCACAGTTATTGCGAGTAGCGCTTGAACCACTGAATGCCTGTTCAAAACTAATGTGTAGCAGTGTCACAACTCTGTCGACTAGATATAAGGATATCAATGGCTGTCGAATGGATGGCCTTTCAAGAGTGCTCATGTGATGCAGTTATAATCCGTTAGTCTCTTTACTGGGGTCTGTGGTGATACATCAAAAGCCAGCTCTACTCTATTATTCGATTTTTTGATAGACCTTTAGACTGCATATGCATCGTGTGATTGTGTGTTTGAACATTGACATGAGTGCCCATGGCTGTGCAAAATCGTCTTTTATTTCTTTGCAAATATCCACACCCAAATGTCTGTTGGCTGTTCACTACTGTAGAATACAAAAAAAGTGGCAGGAATTCGAGCGAAGTTCAATTGAAGGTAAAATGCACTTTTAACAATGCTGTTAATCTTATGTGCTGTGGTGCATAATTTTGACAAACTGCATACCACGAGAAAATCATGTAAAAAATTACGGTGTTGAGAAGTGTGAAGATTAGTTGCCCGCATACATTTCAATGCAGCACTGATCCAACAGTTCTAGATGATGGTATGCTCATTTCAACATCTTATAGCATGCCTAAAAACAAAATACGAACTAGTTAGTGATAATTGTATCTTGTTATTTCACTGTTTTTACTTCCAGTGTGTGTACAGTTGAACCTGGATATAACGAAATTGATAAATTCCCAGGAAAATTCTTTATGAAAAGGTTTTCGTTATATGCAGGCTTGGTTAGGAAACTCGGAGAATAAACGCACAAAATAAACAAAAGGGGGACCGAAGGCAGAGCTAACCCCAAACACTCATTTTACAGAACAAAAACTGCGTTGTTATTGTGATAGCTATAATATGGACCCTCTCGGCAGGTTCTTGCTGCCGCCGCCATGTTACGCAACGAGTCCAAATTCACAACATGCCGCTGCGCATTGTAACTTTCACAAGTGGGTAACAAGGTTCACAAGTGTGATCTCTGCTTCAGCGTGCGAGCGCTGCTGAAGCAGAGATCACACGAGTCGGCACATCCGTATCGCCTGGAAAGTGCATAACATCTCCCGCGTGTTAGAACTGCCATTGAATGCTCAAACAGAAAGTAAACCACCTGTCTTTAACGAGCATGAAAAACCGTGGGGGTGGGGGGGGGCGCTCAAGTAGTGATAACAAACTTTGATTTTAAGGGCCGTCGCCATCGCTCGCGCTTGCTATCTCGGCGAGTATCAGTGCGGTTTCAACGCGAAGGGACTGTGAAAACACCAAGCGCAATCGTTCCGGTCAAAGTCGAAGGTGCGCGATTCTCCCCACCGAAGGACAAGCGTGGTAATCCTGAAACATGATAATCCTGACACGCGTGACATGTAAGAACTTCACAACATACCACGCTCATAGCGTGCTCGTGGCCGTTTCGCTAGCTCCACATATATAAGTTTGGTATCACGTTACGCAAATAGATGACGAAGGTAAACGACACATCCAAACATAACCATGACATGGAAGCCATGTACGACATCATTTACCTCCACCTCGTAACTTCGCTTATGTTGAATTGACATACCGAACTTTCTCATTCGTGCTTCGCATGTCATCGATTTCCACTGTACGTGGGATCTGCCAATTTTTTAAAGACGATAGTCTTTCTTGAAGACCTTCAATAGAAAAATTTTGGTCTGTCTGTCCGTCTGTACATTTGTCTGTTTATTCGCCCTAAGGATACCTCAAACGGCACCAAACCGCCAACCCCACCCGGAGCGCCCACCAATGTAGCTCAAGGTTTAGCGTTCATAGCTGTGCGATTGTCAATTGAAAAGCAATATATTGCGCATATCTGAGGCGCCACAACAATGCTTCGATGTTTTGTATGTCTGCCTTTATACTAGAAGAGACACACACAAGTAACTTTAAGGAATATAGCGTTTATCTCGCTGCGCTGACAGTGCAACGCGATGCTCAGAACGGTGTTTCCAACGCTTCGCTACGACGTCACGGTGGTGGCACCTGCCCGTCGCTCTGCGTTCTACACCTTATCACCTCCGAGACTGGCGCGCATCTTTCTCCGCGGGCTGCACGCCTTCGTTTTCGAAGATAACTGTCAGATGGCGCTTGTGTCTAACGTGCCTCGATGCGCTCGTTCGCCTCCGCGACACGCTCGAGGCACTCTAACGCAGTGCCTCCAGAATACCATTCACCCATTTTTCTTGTGCAGAACAATAAATAAACGTTTTGTTCACTCTCTCCAGGCGCATGACTGTCGTCTTTCGACGACATTTGCGGTGTAACATCAGATTTGGAACAATTTTTTTGTTTCTTGACTTTACATATATATATGCACGTATACTATACGGTGAATGAAGGCAGCGGCGGCAAAGACCCTGCTGAAACTACCCATATGCATAATTGCTGGAGAGGCGGTGCGGTCGCCGTTGAGAGCGGACGCACCTCATTTCATCTCTGCAGTTTTCGAGAGAATCCGCAGGAGTTTCAGTGCCTTCATCAATGTTTGGTTACCATCGACTCCCGAGCGACCACGTGTACCTGGGGACACCAAGTTTCACGGTGAGCGTGCATTTTTTTTGGACTTTAACGACCACATTTACATCGGCAACGCGTGTGAAGCGTTCTAGGCCTACTGACGTTCCGACCGAATGAGGCCGCGTCCACTGCTCGCGGACGCTATACGGCGGGCCCCACAGAAAAGACCCAGTCATGGAGGTGGACGAAACAGCGTCCGACGACACTCCGGATTGGCACGACAATATAGATAATGTCACAAACCTGCCTAAAGCTGAGGCGGATGCCGACGGCTCGATTGAAGTTACGCGACCAAAGAAACACCGCGAAGCTCGCCGCGACGACGAATCATCCCTGCAGCGTGAGACCGAAATTCGCGGCCGCAAAAGAGCTCATTGTGAAGAAAATCCTAAGTACGAGTAAGATGCCGGGGCTGCCGAAAGAAGACATTAAGGTGATCATGAGGCCACGGAATGGCCTGAACTCCGCATGGCGGCTGGGGTGGCATTGGGCGAAACGATCAGAAGAATAGCCGGCTTGAATGCGGACGAAACAATCACGATTTGCCCCAACTACACTTAAAACATCCTGGTTGCCAGTACGCCCGACGAGAAGCCGGCAGGCAAGTTAGCAAGGATCCGCTCAATTAGAGTGGGGGACAAGGAACACGAGGTCAGTGTGTATGTCTCTGCGCCAGAAGAAGTAATCACGGACATAATAAGGGACGTTCCGCTCAGTTATCCGCAAGATCTGCTCTCCCGGGCACTTATCACTACGAGGAACCCCAATCTCGCCTACGCGAAGAGACACGGAAACACCGCTACAGTAATTCTTCTCTACAAAGGAAACAGAGTACCGACGTGGGTGTACT